TGATTTTTCACCTTTGGCACTTGCCACTGCACCAAGCAACCGCCCTCATTTTTTTCATAAACATCCCTCAAAAATCTGGAACAAGTTGGATATCTCTGATAGTGTTTCCTCTGATTTGGATATTGATCTGCAAATTGTATTTAAGTGGTCTTTGCTCATACATTCTTTTAAATGACATTAGTTTACCCATAAACAAATGTCTATGTTCATTTTTCAAATTGATTACAAACTTTTTGTAGGGCCATATTTCACTATTTTAATAAGCAACGGTTGCTTAGTTCTTTTGTGCCATTCCCTACATATTGACAGAGGAAGTATGCAAGCCCCATACCTTCAAGAAAATAGAACTTTCTCTGCTTTCCTTCCCACTTCCAAGCTTTCCGCTAAAGGAAATCCACATTTGAGCAGTTCTTCTAGTACTATGTAAAAAGTATTATTTCTAAAAAAAACCGTTTTAAAAGTTCATTTCTTCTGGCATTAGTGGCTCTACAATTGTAATGACCAGGCCAACTGAGACATGTTTCTTCACCTATAAAATGGGAATAATCACATATAGCACTTTTCATAAGTGGACAATAAAAGCTAAATGGCACTGTGATGTATTTATAGGCAGAAGCTCAACCATGAGTATTCCCAGCAGTTCCTGACTTTATTTCAACAATGGGATATTGATGTGCAGAAAGCAGAGGAACAGGAAGAAAAACTAGCGGTGTGTTTCCATCCTGACAACTGATAAGTTGGTTTTATATTGCAAGTGCTAATTGTTAGACAGCAACTTCCAACAGGCATAAACACACATGAGATGAATTTCAGTCAAAACATGGTGTGGGGGACTCTCTCTCTCAAAAGTTTTCAGGACTTCCCAAGTGTGAAATGTTTATTCAAATGATTAGATATATTACAAAATGAAAAGATGATAAAGACTATCTGATGTTGTAGTGTCTCTATCTAACTTGATCAATATAGAGGTAAATGTTCCTCAAGTTGCAGGAGCAACATGCAGACTCAGTGTAGAGAAGCAATGTTCCCATGGAAGATAAGAGCAGATCCTAAATGTCCTATCATACATGGGCAAGTTTCCACCCAAATCACTAGACATATTAGAATTGGGATAGGAATAGGTAAGCAATGCCAAGTATGTGTAGTATAGGATGACAGTGGGGAATTACAGCATTTACACCTGATTATGTTCACTGGGACCAGAGAATGAGAACAGGTCTCCGTAATATTGGGAGAAGAAAGCTATATAATGGCAGAGGGACACAATTACTCTAAGGCTATGTCTACACTGGCAGGTTGTTGCGCCAGAAGTATGCAAATGAGGCTAAGAATGGAATATTGCTAAGCCTCATTTGCATACCTAATGAGCCGCCATTTTGCGGAAGAGGCTCTTGCGCTAGAAGGAGCTGTCTACACTGCCCCTTCTTGCGCAAGAAAAGTCCTCTTGCACAATGAAAATAATCAGCGTAGCGGCATTGTGCAAGAGGGCTTTTCTTGCGCAAGAAGGGGCAGTGTAGACAGCTCCTTCTAGCGCAAGAGCCTCTTCCGCAAAATGGCGGCTCATTAGGCATGCAAATGAGGCTCAGCGATATTCCACGCTTAGCCTCATTTGCATATCTCTGCCGCAAGATCGCGTCAGTGTAGACATAGCCTGGGAGCACATTGCACCAGTTCAGATTACTTGGAAGATATTGTGTTTCTCTGTTTGCAAGTTGTCCTGTTCCCTGCCAGTAACATAGACCAAGAGAATACATATGGACAACATACTCTGTTTCTTTGCTATCTGCCTTTCTACCAGAGATCCATGTTAGAGATTTTAGAACATGGATTTCCAGTGAAGGAGGAACTTAATGCTTCTGAACATTGACAGCATGGACCCAACCATTGCCTGTTAATTAACATGACTCTTCTTTGTGCTTTAGAATATGTTTCGCCAGCAACAGAAGGTTTTTCAACAGGCAAGAATAGTTCAGAGTCAGAGACTGAAAACAATCAAACAGCTGTATGAGCAATTTTTAAAGGTCCAGTATATGCACCTTTTTTAAAGTTAGATCATGATTCTGTTAAGAGGGATTCTTAATGACTCCATAGGTAAAGCTGCATTGAAACTTACAGTTAGTGTAGGATTAAAATCCCCTGTATATTAAAATAATTATTGAATTAAAAACCATTTAAGGATGATACCAGTAAGTGAACCTTACACATGGCTCCTTTCATTAATCAAGAATATTTGTGTAGTGCTATTTTGTAGCCTGCAAGGATAGTTCCATTTACCATTAAGGTTTTGTCTAAACACACAAGTTGTGCTCACTTAACTAAAATCTGTTTAAAAAAGTGATTTGATTAAGCCAGTCAAACCCTGCAGGAGCATAACATCTGATTAAAACTGTTTACATCTGTTTACTTTGCATCTGTACATTTACCAGTGTAAGCTAAACTGATCAATCAGATTGAAATCAAATTAAGAGTAACCACAACTTTAGTTCACCAAATGTGACTTGGTGTGAAGACTGAGACTTGAATTAATGTTATGAAAACCCAATTTTTTAAATAAAATGGTGAAATATTTCACTGTACTTGAAAATAAAGCATAAGCCAAAACTTAGCATTTGTTATGCTTTTGTTAGAGGTAGCAGTCTCACTAATAGTGAATGGCTACCTTAGAATATGGTGACCTATGGCTATTTGTAGAAAGATTTTCAAATACATTAACATTTAAATAGTTTTATGCTTCATTGGGTGAGTTTTCTAACCATGTCACAATTGGTATTACTTTTAATAAACTAATATTTTAGGCTGATGATTAAATGCAGATAACTCTAACAAATTAAAAAAAATCACAATTTAAAAAATTAATCAGAGTTTTAATTGCACTGTTAAACAATGGAATATCAGATAAAATGTACTATATATTTTTGGATTTTTTTACATTTTCAAATTGATTTTAATTACAACACAATGCAAAGTGTACACTACTCACTTTATTTTTATTACAAATATTTGCACTGTAAAATGATAATTTTTCAATTCACCTCATACAAACATTGTAGTGCAATCAAGTGGTTCCCAAACTTTTTGACACAGGGACCAGTAAATCCATTCATGAACTTTTGGAGGACCGTAATGTTGACTATTCAAATAAGTTGTTTCTGGTCCTCCCAAAACCCCCAGTGCCAGCTTTAGCAAAGCTTTTGATATGGTCACCCACAATATTCTTGCCAGCAAGTTAAGGAATATGGATTGGATAAATGGACTGTAAGACAGACAGAAAGCTGGTTAGACCAGGGATTCCCAAACATTTTACTTTAGTTGGAACCCTTTTTTTTCCCCCCAATACTGCTTTTTGCAGCCCAAAAATATAAACACATAAAAAACAAACTGAGAAAATACCAGACATATAACATGTCTGGTATTTTCTCATTAGGTAAGTTGTATTATTACTAGATGTATCAGTTTGTAGTTTTGAACTGCCTGGCTGGTAAATGTGCTCAGGCTGCATGAGTGTGTCTACCAGCCAGACAGTTCGCAACTACTGGGGGGAGGGAGAAGGGGGAGGGGAGAGGAAGGGGAG